CGCCTGCAGCGTGACAGACAGCTCCGCGAGGAGGAGGTAGAGCTGCGCGCACAGCAGAGAGAGGGAAAGCTTCCAGAGAAAGAGCGGCTGCGCCGGGAGCTCAAGGAGCAGCAGTTGCGCGGTCAGGAGCTGGAGCAACAGCTCCGCCAAGAGCGCGACCGGCAATTCCATGAGGATCGACAGCTCCGCCAGGAAAGGCAGAAAGAACAACTGAGACGTGAAGAACAGGAAGAGCAGATGCGCCGGCAAGAGCGAGATAGGCAGTACCAGTCTGAGGATCGGTTTGTCGCGGATAAGAGGCGTCGCCAGGCACCAGAACTGGTGCAAGAAGAGGAGAGGAAATTCCGGGAGGAAGACCGGGTCAAGCGTCAGTTCGCCAATCCCCCAGTGCGCTCTAGCCCTCTCTATGAGTACATTCAAGAGCAGAGGTCTCAATACCGCCCTTGAGAGATGCTGTCAGTATACTGACATCTGCCAAAGCCTGAAGCAAAGAAAAATAAGAAAAGCTCAGTACCAAAGGATGACTGAAATGTTTCTGGTTGCGGGAAATTCTGTTAGAATGTGTCTGCTAAATCCTTAAGTGCATGTACTCCTTCTGCCTTTTATTCGTTCTTAACTAGCTCTTTCTTGAAGGATGTCTTTCTCTTTGGTGTAAATGTGGTCACTTAAGGAGTTCTGTTTGAGGAACTTGTTAACTTATTGCTTTCCAAAGTAACAAGGATAATGATTTGAGATTCTACGTAACAGGCTATTCTTATTAATGAATGCTCCATTTGTGGAGATTTAGAATTTCAAAATTATATTTTTAAATATTCAAGTTGATTTTTTTCCCATTGGCCTGAATTACATTAGTCTTTACTTCCAATTAGCTTCTCCTCCGTGCTGGCATCATTAGTACACATTATGTAAAGTGCCTTTTTACAACCACCCTTAAATATAGTACACAGAGGAAGTAATTTTGGGAGAAAAACTCCTGTAAACTCAGCCCATAATTGGGAAATATTTATTAGGAATAGGGTTTGCTTAAAGAATGGATTTGTTGTGTTGTGTTTTTCCCCCTAATTCTTAACTGCATGATACTCAAAAATCTCAGGAAGCAAAAGCTATGTGTTTCCCAACCCCAGAACTCAAATATTAAGATGGTGTCTGCTGTAATCTTTAATGTTCACTTTTCTTCTTCCAACTTATGGGTTTGAGAATATTATTACCTTTGTTAGTTTTAGCTGAGAAAGGACCTCAGGATCCTATACACATTTGTCTTTTTCTAGGGCCAGTAGGGGATCACAGAAAGTATGTCGAGAAGAGACAGGAGAGAATGTGTTAACACAGGAACAAGTTCCTAGAAGCCCTTGACAAGACCCATCAGCCCACAATCCTTTATACTGCCTTAGAGACATTCTTGTTGAAATAATTGGACTGTATGAAAAATAAATGATTGGCAAACAATTTCTTTTGTCTGTCTTAACTATGCGTCAAATCATAACTTAAGATTTAATGGTGTGGAAACTGACATTCTCTTTCACTTAGGATATTTTGTTACTGTTATCGATGTTCAAACATTAAAAACAAAAACTCCTGTATTTCCCCCAACCGTATTTCCCTGGTAGGGTTAACCTTATATTACTTACCTCTTCAAACTGCTGGGATTCTCATTCTCTTTCTTTGTATTTTCATTATTGACCCCACACTTTGCGATGACTTTGGGTGGGGCAGGAGGGGGCAATGATTCACTGGCCATGGCAAATGATGATGATCCCAAGGTCATACTCCTTCTGAGTATGCGGTGGCCTCTTGGTCTATGTCCAGTGAACTATATTGGTTAAAAAAATTATCTGAAAGCTCAATTCAACATTATAGAAATTGCAGAGGACCTGTCAGTTAACCCGAGCTGACTCAAGTCAAAAGTATCAAATGAGCAGAACACCCCTGTGCCATCTGGAGTGTTTGGAGACTACATTTACTGGTTACAGCTTGTTAACTAGGAATAAGTCTTAATAAGACCATAATTTCTAATTGTGAGGGATTAAAAGATACCTGGAGTTAATCAACATTTTTAATCAATAGTGGAGGCAAGGAAGCCAAACCAATAGCTGTAGGGTATCATTCTAATTGAATGGTATTTTCGGTATGGCATACCATCCTCCCTCTCACTTTGATGTAATTAGTAGAGCCCACTAGAGGCACCACCTGGAATCTCCCTAACTATCTTGGAACCCATCTTCTTCAAATGATCGCTAATTACAATTCTCTTAAAGTCCATTTTCCCTTCCTTAAGGATATTTATAGACACTCTAGAAGAGTCCCACTGGCTTTCTCCAGAAATCGTTCAAGCATCTTTATAAAAGCCAGCCCCAGGACACTCCTGAAATACACACTCATCAGTTAAGCTGTATTCAACAATAATAATTGTAATAAAAGTCAAAACCCTGTAGAGTTCTTGTAGCCCTTTACAAGATTAGGGAAGAGCCAATTTCCAAAGAAGAAAGTATTCTTTCATCACAATTATAATAACATGTAGTTTAAAAATAAAAATGTGTCAGCCAGCCTGTGCCCTCTGGCTCTTCTTTGAGCCATTCTGGCAGGAGAACTTGGAGGCCAACCTTCCTACTGCTCCATCATGTATGGGCAAGACCTTGAGGCTATTGAGTAACTGGCTGCTTAACTATAAATTGGAAGCTCTATAAACATCACCATGGCAGATGCTGCCTAATGGGGTTCAAAATTCTTCCTTTTGAAAAGCTGATCTCCCTACAAGGTGAGGTCATGCTCCTGAAAAAAACTCCATCTGTATTGTGATGATCTTTGTTCTCCAGTGCTGTTCAAGCAGATCTTGGCTGCCCAAATCTTTATTATTATTATTTTAAATTTGCCTTAATTTCTACAGTGGAGTGAAAAGCATGTTACAATGAATCAGACAATGGGATTTATTCTTTCATTAATTTAACAAATATTTCTATTTTTTTTTTAAATGGAGAAAATTTCATTTGCTAGTCCTTCCCTCAAGGGGAAGACTATTATATGTTAGGGAGGAATACTTTGATCATTTGCTAGGGTATGAACCCTCTTGCCAAGAAATACCTCCTTGAATAATAAATGCCTTCTAAGGAGGATGTGTTTGTGTAACTACAGGCTTAGTTTAGTTGGATGTGGTGTACAAGATTTGCACCAGAACTAAATTGTGTGAGACAGGAGAGTCTGGGCAAAATATAAGGCAATGGCCAAAAGAAAAAGAGGATGTATGGCATTAGCTTCCTGTTGCTGAAATGCCATATTCTAATCCTGGAGGTAGAAGTCTGAAATGGGTCTCATTATGCTAAAATCGGGGCTTCTGCAGGATTTCTTTCCTCTCTGGAGGTCTTGGGGGAGAGTCGATTTCTTTGCCTTTGCCAGGTTCTAGAAGCTATCACAACCCTAGGCTCATAGCTTTCTTAGTTTCCTTCATCTTCAAAGCCAGCAATGGGATAACAAACTCACACTTCTCACTCTGACCTCTTTTCTGCTGCCCTCTTCCATTTATAAGGACTTGTTGATTACACTGAACTTACCCAAATAATATTAAGAGAATTTATCTATCTCTTTTTGGCCCACCCTTTCATCCAAGTTAATGTGTGCCTGCCCTTTGGTTAGTGATTTGACCTCTCCTTTCCCCTTCTACCCATACTCTCAAACTCTCATAAAGATCCTATAGGACAGAGTAGAGTTACCCCCATGAGTGTCCAAGATTTTAGCTCTTTATTGGAGTAGAAAACCTTGCCTTTCTCTCAGAGAGTGGCCGGTGGTTTCGAATTGTTGACCTTGAGGTTATGAACCCAATGTGTAAGCAGGCAAGGCTCCTAAATTTGTCCTCATTTTTCCATTGATCGTCTTTATAGCTTAAGGGTTTGGGTCCATATTGATTTTGTTTTTGTATATGATGTGAGATATGGCTCCTCTTTGATTCCAACAGATGGATATTCAGTTTTGCCAGCACCGTTTATTAAAGAGACTATTTCCTTCTCATTTAATAATTTTTGGTCTTTAGCCAAAGAACAACTACCCATAGGTGGATGGTCAACAAATATTTATTGAACTTCTGCTTTGTGTCAGGCATTATTATAGCCAATGTACTTACAAGACAGGCAATATACTAAACTACACTCACTGGATTCCTATTCTTTCCAGCCTATAGTCTAGTCATTGTGATGTGTTGCTTCATTTTATTATCTCTGTGTCCTTCTGCAAAACGCTTAAGCTTTCAAGGTCTCCATTTTTCATATTTCAGATTATGAAAGTGAAATAGATATAACCATTTTCCCTCTGATTTATGCAGTGATGTTGGTGTCACCAGTTTAGTAACATATGATGCCATCTTACCCCCTGTGATGCCATCTTACCTCCTTCTGTGCCTGATCATACAAAATCCTTAGTAATGTGTATTATAAAATTTAATACTAGAACAATATGTGATGTAGTTGTAAGTTGCTTAAATATAATATTTCTTAGATTAAATAAATACTAACAAAATGGATTTGTAAAATCTCTTTTCATTGAATCACATTATTAGTTTAAAAAATGATTAGTAAGTGAATGGAGAATCCTTTAAATTTTTCCCCTTTTCTTTTAATTATTGCTTCATTCTCAAAAAAGGTATTGATACATGGTTGTTATATATGGTTCTGATATATGATAGGTAGTTCACAAATACTACGTACCAAAATATTTTAGCGAAAACATCAGAAATTTTGACAAAATACTGGCATCGGCCTAGTGGGGTTTGATCAAGCATAATGTAGCCAAGAGGAATTACTGAGAGCCAAATGAAGATCAAACATGATAGTAGGACAGGAAGAAAGTAAAAAAGAGGAAAGTACTAGGAGACAAAAGACATGTATAGAGGTTAAATATAGGCATGGACATATGTAAATATATTTATCTATAACGATGGAGATATTGGTCAATGTACATATGTTTATATGTTAATTATTAAGGTAGCAGATGGACTTTGGGACTTTACTCAAGTCCTCCCTCAACACGAGAACACTTTGTTCTAATATCCTGGCATTCTGTGATGCTCACCTTCCCAACACGATCGCTGAAGTCAAAAGTGGGTGCATAAGCAAATATGGTGAAGAAAGCTGATGGTGCCTGGCTATTAAAAGATATAGCATCTGGGGTCTTAAAGGTTTGAAGATAAACAAGCAACCATCTATCAGGGAAGCAACAAAGTCTACATGGAAGAATCACACCAGCCTATATGATCACGAGGTGTCAATGGGATCAGGTGTCAGGCATCAGAAGATCCAAAACAAACAACCATATCAATGGGAATGAGGGGGATTGGAGTGGAGACCCAAAGCCCATCTGTAGACAACTGGACATCCCCTCACCATAGGGTCACAAGGAAGGGGCTAGTCAGCCAGGGTGCAGTATAGCATTGACAATACACACAACATTCTTCTATTTCTTTAATGCTGCCCCCCCCTCACTATATGACCCCCGTTTTCCTTACAAATCCAGCTACACTGGAGCATGTAAACTGGTACAGATAAGAGCTCTCAACACACAGAATGCAGGACAGACAAACCCCTCAGGAACAGTAATGGAAGTAGCAATACAACGAGGGGAGGGGAAAAGGTGAGGGGATAAGGGGGAGAAAGGGGGAACCAATTGCAATGATCACTGTGTAGCACTCCCCACCCTCCCAGGAGGACAAACAACAGAAATATGGGTGAAAGGGGATAGCAGATGGTGTAATATATGAAAATAATAATCTATAATTTATCAGGGGTTCACAAGGGTGGGAGGGTGGGAGAGGGAGGGGAAATAAACAAAAAAGAGGAGCTGATACCAAGGGCTCAGGTAGAAAGAAAATATTTTTAAAATAGTGGTGGCAACATATGTACAAATGTGCTTGATACAATTGAGGTATGGATTGTTATAAGAGCTGTAAGAGCCCCCAATAAAATAATTTATAAAAAAAACAAATTGGCATCAGTATCATCTCAGTCCACGTAGCATAGTTCACATCTTTATAGCACATGCAGATGAAATCATTTAATGTAAAGAATCATTGTAATTAGATAATAATCACAACTCTGACTAGAGCTCCGTGCTCTCTGGTGCCATCGTGTCCTTTTGGACTCCCTACAACCCTACATACAACAGAACCGAACGCGGCCCTGCCTCGTGTCACCTTCACAATTGTTGCTATGTCTGAGCCCATTGTTGCACTCACTGAGTCAGTTCATCTCAGTGGAGGTCTTCCTCTTTTCACTGGCTGTCCCAGATACCAAGGATGATGTCCTTCTCCAGTGACGGATCCCTCCTGATAACATGTCCAAAGTATGTGAGAGAAGTTTCACCATTCTTGCTTCTAAGAAGCATTCTGGCTTACTTCTTCAAAGATAGATTTGTTTGTTCTTCTAGCCATCCATAGTAATTTGAATATTCTTTGTCAACATCATAAT